TTTTTTTACATTTTACAGGATAATCCGTCAGAGAAAGATGTTAATCAAGGAACTCTTGTGGTTTTCAACTTGGCTCCATCAGTTTCCAACAAAGACCTCGAAAATATATTTGGAGCTTATGGCGAGATTAAGGAGGTGATGCGTTCTTTCTGTTGTTTTCTTTAAGGTTTTTCTCAAGACCTGCATAATAGTTAACGTTTGTGTAAGTTATTTGTTCTGACTAAGCAGATACGGGAAACACCAAATAAGAGGCATCACAAATTTGTTGAATTTTTTGACGTTAGATCCGCTGATGCAGCTCTCAAAGCTTTGAACAAAACCGAAATTGCTGGTAAACGTATAAAGCTTGAACATAGTCGTCCTGGTGGTGCTCGTAGAAAGTGAGTTTACCGATACTAATTAGCAAAACTGACTGTGAAGAAACTGTGGACTGATTTACTGTTTTCCTTCTTTTCAGCATGATGCTGCAAATGAATCCAGAATTTGAACTAGATGATTCCCGGAACTACCTGAATCATGTCGATTCGCCTTTAGCTAGCTCTCCTGTCGGGAACTACTGGTGTAACGGCCCTATTGATCAAAATCCTCTACAAAGTTTCAGTAAGCCTCCAATATTTGGAAACTTGAGCCCAACAATGAACATCCGTTATTCAGAATTTTCTTCGATTCCGCATTCTCAAGGAGCAAACCCGACAAAAGCTGCATCAGTGAGCAATGATCAAGGAAGAAGGGTGAGCCACTTGGATCATCTGTTTCCAAGCAGCAGCTATAATAATGCAAGCCATATAGCTACTGCCTCGTTTGGATCTGCTTCCTCGTTTGGCTCTTTGAACTCAAACTCGGGTCGCGTGGAAACGTTATCTGGATCAGAATTTCTGTGGGGAAGCCCCAGTTCTTCAGTCTGGCGTGTGAATCCATTCTCTTCAAATGGAAAAGCTCACAGATATCCTTACCACCAGCACCATCATGTCGGATCTGCGCCATCTGGACTCTTCCCAAGGTCCCCTGAAACTTCATCAATGGGTTTCCGAGGAGCAAGTGGTAATATGAATGCTCCAAGAAACACGCGTGAAAATGTCTCTACAAGTTTCAATGTGCTGTCTTCTCCAAGACATAGTCAATTGTTTATGGGCAATGGCTCTTACCCATGGCCTGTTGCGAGAATGGCTTCCACGGACGACTCATTTGAGGATGGAAGGGGCCAACAATTTGATAGTAACACTAACCAAGTAGACAGCAAGCAACAGTTTCAGCTCGACTTGACTAAGATTATGAGTGGCGAAGATTTACGGACAACTTTGATGATAAAAAATATCCCCAACAAGTATGAGATCTCCTTATTTTGCTATGGCCCGGTCAGTTTACTATCGCGGGATCTGTTGGAATTGATCTTTTTCATTCTTCTCAGGTATACCGCGAAGATGCTGTTAGCTGCTATTGACGAGAAAAACAGAGGAACTTATGATTTTCTATATTTGCCTATTGATTTCAAGGTAAAGACCACCCTGCTTGTGTGTTTCAATCTCTGACTTCATTTGATAAAATTCTATCAACTTTCTCTTATGTGCAGAATAAATGCAATGTGGGTTATGCATTTATCAACATGGTGTCTCCTAAATTCATCATTGCGTTGTACGAGGTACAAAACCCGATTTGAGTCTTTAGTATTATTGTTTCTGAGAGATTTGAAATTTTTGGAGATCTAACTTATGCTTCTGATCTATTCCATAGGCTTTTAATGGGAAAAAATGGGATAAGTTTAACAGTGAGAAAGTTGCATCCTTGGCATATGCACGGATCCAAGGCAAAACCGCGCTTATCGCTCACTTCCAGAACTCAAGCTTATTGAACGAAGACAGGAGATGCCAACCTATTGTCTTTGATGGACCAGAATCTACTTATCCGGTAAACAATCTCTTGAACACATGACATGATCTTGTAATTATCATTAATATCTTATAAATCTCTTGAACACATGACTCGTACATCGATATCTGACTAGATCATCCTGGAACATTTGCAGCTCGAGGCATCAAACTCGACAGGTGCTCATCCTTTTGCCAATGAAAGCACGCATCGGAGCTGACATTCAAGTGAAACCCGTTAATCGTCTCTAGTTCAAACGTAAATATTTGGTTTCTAG